CATTACAGTATCTCATGTGCTTCATCAGTGTCGGGTTATTCACCAAATAAAAAGTTGTCCACTGCACCTGAAGGACATCAAACAACAGAAAGGCCTAAAGGCAGTGTAAATACCTGCCTGTTGACATATGCTTTAAGTCCATTGAACTGCCACGATATTAGCACAAAGCATCTGCACACCCCAAGCTGGCAGAACACAATGTTCAACTCTATTTTGCAAAAGAAAATATGAATAAAACGCTCATTTTAACCCTACTGCACATTATTTTTTTTTAAAAATGCAATTCTCATTTCATCCCGTTTCAAGATGTGCCCGCTTTGACTTTCACAATCTGCAGCGCATTTCTTCCAACATAAGAGGCCGCGAGTCTGTTTGCATGGCATCTTTGTCTGTATAGCTTTTGCATGCCTCTGTGAAATATGGAGAGCTCTGAGGGGCCCTTCAGGGGTGAGAAGGTGAGGAGGAAAAAAAGTGACTGACAGTCTGAGGAGAGAGGCAGCAGCACACCAGAGCAGATCTGTACACGTGGCCTTCCAGCCTCCCTGTGTGTACGTGTACACATACATACGCACACATATAGGCGCACAGACACACACACACACACACACACACACACACACACACACAGTCTGTCTTGCTGTCCTCGGTCCTGCTCTGGCACACACTGACGCAAGCAGCACAGCAACAGAGAAGAGTTTACATCAGTTCTTTAACCCTTCTTACTGTCAAGCATGACTCAGAACATTTTTTTTTTAAAGAATTTAATCTCAGTGCCACAAAGATGAGAAGATTAGCAGGCGTAGCAAACTGCATTGTGTAGATAAATGCAAAGAGATGCAATGCAGTATAGCAAAAAAATAAATACATCGCAAACTAGAAAAAATGAATGTCAGCTTAATAAAAGGAGTTTGGTGCTGTTTTGAGAATTTTTGAGTCCTTCAAGGGTCTCATCTCACCCTGGGCATGAAGCAATAAACGTTTGTCTGTTTGATTATCAGTTATGTAACAAGAAGCTCAAGCCAAGCAACGTGATTGAGCCAAATTGGGATTGAACCGCATTGAGAATTCCCATAGAGCAGCTAGGTGGGCTCGATGATATACGGTGCGGCACTTGCAGCCGGTTGCTATGTTACATGATGTTGTATCCAGGGAGCAAGTCCCTTTTCTGTTTTCATTTCTACTTTAATGTGATCTAATGTGACAACACTGCTATAAAACACTACCTTTTCTGAGAGCATAGTTTTTCTGGTATTATATTATATTATACCTTGCTGTGTTGTGCTGAATTGCATTAAACTATTTACAGCTCCAGTGTATTTTCCTCAAGTAATTATCTGCACTGCAGAAAAAACATTGTAACAAACTTCTAAAAAAAAAAGGCACTGTGTACAATTAAAAGACACCCTAAATACAAAAATGTGTATAATGTAGAGCTGAAACAATTAAAAATGGATTATTCTTTAAGCAAACATGGCAAACAATTCTTTGTTTTAGTTTCTTAGTTGTGGCAATTTAATGCATGTTTTTTTTTAATGCTCTGTTGTGTAGTTCACTGAATATATTTTGGCATTGTGCTGTTGGTGAGAAAAATTTGGTTCATTTTTCATTATTTTGCAATTTTATAGACTAAATGATTTTAAAGCAATGTAAATTATTATCAGTTGCACCCGTGCTATCATAATAAGCAGAAAATTATTTTTAAATGAATCCTTCACCTTATGCAAAATTGCTTTAAAAAAATGTTAATCAGTGTAAACGTCATGTGTATTACATGTAATATATGTCTTATGATGGCATTATCTCCAGGAAATCTAATTTTGTGGGATATTTCACAATTGGTGAATCTAAAATGTTCTTTTTTTAATATAATTTGTGTATCCTGATCATTTTATAAAAATGAAGTACTGCACAATTCAACATGTTTTTGAGCTTTCCACAGCACTGTGCCACCACTGAAGAATGGTCTGACTGTGCCCTATTCTGTCATAGGTGAAAAAATCTAAAACAAAAACACTTATTTCCTTGTTTGTACTTAGTTAAACCAATCACAGTTGTCAGAATTGAAGTTCAGGTTGCAGTGATGGTGCCTCTGCAAAATAGCGTTGGGGGAGCTTCTTTTTCAAATATAAGAGAGAATTCCTTTAAGACAACAAATGTTGAAACATATTTTGTGTAGATCTTTACAACCGTTTCCCACAAGAACCAAACAAGTCTGCCTTAACGCATGACTTCAGCAAAATTCTATGTTTTTGATGTGCAGGTTGCTGCCTAGAGTTTGTTGTTGTTGTTTTCCATAACGAAGGCAGGTCAATACCCACAGTCTACATCTGGTGAATTAGACTACAAACCAAAAGACATGACTGCATTGTGATGAAACACATCGGTGTATGTATTAAAACCAATATTTTCTATTAAGTGTTTTTTTTTTAATGGATTTCATGGATTGAAAATGGCTCAAGTCAGTATGTACTATTTAAATCATCTGGAGACTTGTAACGCCACTTCTAAAAGAGTCGATGGTTTAGGGCTGATTTACATCATTAAAAGAAAGTTAGTGCCCTCTAATCAGAGGCGGCCGTCCCACTTCCCCCAGCCACAGGCCTTGAGTGGGAGTCTGTGAAACTGCACAGGAGTTTGTGCATTCGCTGCTAACCCTCTACTTAGTAGTTTTTGATTCTGGCAAAATTACTCAGACTTGTGCATTTGACAGCTACAGAGCTACAGAACCGGGCTGATTTCTCTCTCTTCAGAACCTCATTCTACCCTCTAACTAATGTTACGTTGCCACTCAGAGACTGCCTCCATCCTCTCTTTAACTGCATCGCCTGCATTGCTGGGGCAGAAGCCAACAGCTCGAATTGACATGGCTCAGTACCATCGTGGGTTCTCCACTACAGACGCCCACTTCAGAGGAATCTGGAGGGGGAAAGTTCTCCACCCCAGAACAGCTCTCTGAGGAAAAGGTGCTTTATGTATCTGTACTGCTCTCCACTTTACTCTGGCCACGGGCTGTCACTAAACCAATCCTGCCTGACGCATCCACGCTCCTCCTCAACCGCTTGCATACTTTTCAGCATTTTTAAACTTTAGTTGCAACCTAATTGTGCTTTTTCTTTTTTTTTTTTTTTGCTAGTCCACAGCTAAGTCAGTTTATGTTTGTCATTTGTTTGCCTGTTATGTTGTTTGTAAGGGTTTTTGCATTGCAGTATTCAGGCCTTGCACGGCACCAGCGCTGTATATCAGAGGAACACAGTATGAAATCACACACCATGCTGATGCAACGCAGATCAACATACCAGGAAGTCAGGCACAAACAGCACTGTGCTTGTGTTTAGTCATAAAGCCTACTATAGCATATTACATGCACAGAAACGATAGCAAGGTGAGGAGATAAGAGTTTGCACATTTTAACCATGAGAACGTGACGTGGTTATGAGCAAAACAGCGAAGGAGCATATCAGTCTCACAGCAGGGAGCTAGCGGCGGAATGAAATCCATGTTCATATAGAAGTTGTTTACAAACCAACCTGAGCCAAACACCCTCAATGACTCTTTCAGGAGGCCTGTACTGACACACATTATTACCCTCCATTAATCAAACACCATCTCATGATCCGCCCTTTCAACCCGTGTCCACATCGGAGCTCATAAAACTGAAAAATAAATCCCTCTCTTTCAACGTTGCACTCAGAGCCGGTTCAGTTATCAGATAGTACTTCTAAGCCGAAGCGAGGCGTGTCACCAGACACTTCTCATTCTCACTATGCAGCACGTACACAACATTCTCACAGGACTCATTTCCCTCGCATCAAGCATGACCACAGTGCATCCTTAGAAATGCGCATAACATGTTATGCCAATGAATCATTTCCTGTGGGATGACACATTTATATAACACTGTGATATCTTTATAACAAGCACCATTTTTACTGCACCATTTTGGAAAAATACCACACAGACGGAGGTTAGACACAATATGCTGAGTTACTGTGCATGAGAACGATTGCTCAAATTCTCCCACAGAAATATAGATTTTCCGTATCTGATTCCGGGCAAGCGAAATCCCAGAAAAATAACTGCTCTGTGCCCCATGGGCTCTTCAAAGCTGTGATACTGAAAAACATAAGGTCTCCTCGGGGTGACTATTATTAGCTCAGCACAAGTGAATATCCTCAACAGTATTTACTTTCCCTCGTGCCACCTTGTATTCTGGCAACTCTTCAACTAATTCAACACCTTCTTCTAATGTCTGTCTCCTCTAACAACAGTTCTGTAAGTGAAGGAGAATTTATTTATATTTTTCTTTCCCTGGGCATTCCTAAAAATGTGCTGCAATGTGGATAAATTGAAGGAATGTGTTCCCTGCTGAGCCTGCCTATTGGGGGTGATAAGCAGCAGATGCCCTCCAACCCCTGGGGGTGTTAACACTTTTCTCACAAAAGAATGCCCCAGACAAACAAACAAACAGCACCTGCGCACCTTTGTTGTGACCTATTGAAGTGATCTTTTCCGAAGTGTTAGAGTCAAGCTGGATGCCTAAAATGCTATGAAACACACTGACTGCACTGTTAAGGTGTCCTGCAAGGAACTGGGCCGCCCGGACACATCACTCTGAACTTGATCTGCTTTCAGGCACATCAACACAGACCAGCACAAATATTTTTTTTTGTGGTTTCAGGAGCAGCAGCGCAAAAGGAAACACTACACCTGTTCACAGAATGTATTTTCCGCGAAAATGTACAATGCCAGTCAGCCGTCCGGTGGCATTCAAAAGCAGCAGTGAGTATAAATCACAGTTTCTACTCTGCAAACCTGAACTATTACCAACTTCTTCTTTCCTTGTGCTGAAATGTGTCCATATTTTAACATTCTAAAAACACAGCAATACCCTCTGGGTGCATAAATACAAAGTCGATCACACCATGAATGAGAGCAAACACAAAATCTGTCACAATGACAAAGGCAAACAGAGCGAGATTAGGTAATCCTGTGAGATTTACCTGGAGAAGCTGACAGAAAATGATCCCAAGGCCGAAGCAGAGGGGAGCCTATCATCGGTGCTCTGTATCCCGGATGACTCTCCATACCTTTTCCCCCTGATCCAGCTCTCCCCCACCAGAGACAGGTCTGAATACATGCCAAAAGGCTTCTGGTCTTGTAGGCCCACTGTGGAAGGCGGATTGGCTCTGTAGTGGCAGCTAGGTCCTGCACCGATGCCCATAGAAGAGGACATGGGGCCTCCTCCTCCTCCTCCGTGGAGGGAGCTCATGCTGTTCTGGAGACACTGCGACTGGCAACAACCAGCACTGTCCAGCTCCTCCTGTTTGACCACACCAGGGGTGCGGATGTGGATGAAAGAGTCGTCAGGATCCTCCTCCTTGATGATGACGCTGGAGAGTAGCGTTGAAGGCTGCTGATGCTGATGGTGAAGCTGGTGTTGCTGGTGCCGTACTAGGTGGTGGTGCTGTTGCTGCTGGTGCGGATGATGGTGTTGTATGGGATGGTGCTGCTGCTCCGAGCCGTTCACACTGGTACAGTTTTCTCCGTTACCCATGAGAGACTTTGTTTCCTTTACCAAGCCGCCGCCACGGCTGCTCTCGTGTAGGAGGTTATCCAAGTTTGCCACTTCCGAATCCAACTCGAAAGCACTGATTACTGGCAGCGAGCTAGGAAGGTCCAGGGTTTGCCAAATTTCGGTATCCTCGATTAGGCGATTGCTGTTGCCATCCAGATCACATTGACCAGTGCCTGTGTGTCCACTATAAGTTCCCATTTCCTTGTCCAGAGAAAAAATCCCCTCCTGCTTGATGTGCTGAGAAAAGAGGTCGGGCATGGGGAGGACGGAGGTGTCTGAGGTGCTGATGACAGACGTGGACGTCCGGTCGAGATCAGATATATTCTGGTTCAACAGCGGCAAGCTGTCCCCCATGTTGAATATATCAATATCCTGTTGTTGCTGTTGTGGTTTCTGCATTCTGATCATTTTGCCCTCCTTCATATCTGACCTGTCGCACAGGACATGATGCTGAGGGGACTCAAAGAGGCCTCCGAGTTCCCCTTGGTCTTTGGTTCCAACCCGTCCATTCGGGGCCACTGTGGGCTGGGGCAGAGGCCCAGGGCCAGGCAGATGCATCGTAGACTGGAGCAGTGAGCTAGGTGTGTCACCTGTATCTCTGGCTACTTCGGCTCCTATCTCCCCAAATGTCAGGCTGTCGTCTCGATTACCATTGCGCTTCAGTCCACCCTGATCCATTTCTTTATCCTGAGGAGGACAGTGGGGGCAGTGAGGATAAATAAAGAAAGCACACAAACAGAAGGGACAAGGTGATATAATCAAATCTGATGCTGAAAATGGACATAAATATGCAGCAGTTAGTCCAAGAGAAAAAAAATTAAAAGCTCACTGAAAAACAGATCATTCACAGTAACAGGTGTCTTGAAACATCTGCATTTAAAAGTGTCATGGTGCAGTTTAAAAGCACTGCCTACTGCTGTGCCTCTCCCTACATTTGTTCTCTTATTATTATTGCTGTGCTGTTATTACTTATATATGTACATATATTCTTTTTTTAATGTGACAGCAGCCGAATCAAAGAAGCCATGTCCTCCTCTCACACCCACACTGGAACAATGCAGCAGAGGCACTAATGGCACAAACCAGGGCCTCGTTAATGCACTATTAGAAAATGTGACCACAGATATTACATAACGTCACACAAAATGAAAGGGATGTGTGTGGAATCTCTTTGAACTATGCCTCCTTCTCAACTGAAGATGAGTCAAGAAGTGATAAAACATGCCCAGGCATAACTTGCATTACAGGTAGTGCCAGTGACTGTCCCACATACAGTAAGCATGTGTGCAACAACATGCATCTGTCGAGAGAGATTAACCCACCATGGGCCTCCAGGCACCAATGACTGTCTATCTCTATTTGCAAGCTAGATTAAAAAGAAAAAAGAAAAAAAAGAACTATGAAAAATAAAGTCAGAATTTCTTTTACAAAATTAGGAATATATTTAAAATATAGTAAACTTTAAAAATATATTTCTTAAAAAGCAATGGAGCTGCATCCACCAACTAAGCACGTGTGTGTGTGTGTTTTCCTTTTTTTTTATTTTGTACTTTTCACTTTCCAAAGTCACTGCCACTGAATAAATAAAACAAAATACACGTGCACAAATACGCTCGTGTTGCTAAGCTTATTCGAAACTACCTTGGACATTTGATATTCTGGAAATATCGAATACAATCTGACCCCTAAAATAACGCACTGCATAATCTCGGGGGATATTTTTTTGATCAAGTGGCCGATCGCGTCTGTTCTGGCCTCAAGTAAACACAGTGGTGACATTCTTGGATTTCTCCATATAACACACACACACACACACACACACACACACACATATATATATATATGGAGCTATTTGGGCAGCTGTTCACTGCATTTATTTTGCAACTTCTATAGCTGCTGTGGTGCGTAAAATAAAGAATGGTTCTGTGGTTCTCTCTGGGGTTAAGTCATGTTTTTGTTGTTGTTGTTGTTGTTGTTTTAAATCGCACTACATAAAGAAAAAATAAGACTTGTGTTTTGGTCATACGCTCCCCACTTTTCCCCGCCCACAGTCGCCTACATTACACCGGCTGTATGGTGGAACAGGCTGCGCTCAGGCTGTTCTTTTTACCCAATTTTCCCAAGCTTGAGGTTGCTGCAATCGTAAATTTTTTTTTTAGAAAGGCAATAAATATACATGGGGATTTTTAAAGTTTTTTTTGTTTTTTTTTTTAAGTTTGGGGTTTCCTGACTTGCTTCAGCCTGCTGTACTTTTCCCACCACAGAATTAGTGCAACCTGTTGGCTGCAATGAGAAACTGCACTGATCTCACGCCTACAGCCAAGGGGGAGGCTGATATAGAGAAAAGAAAAAAAGAGAGGGGGGAAAAAAACAGCCGGTGCGTTTAAGTTTGTGCAACATTTTCTATTTCATACATAAAACCTCATATTTAGATGGTTTGACGGGGTGCTGGCGGTGACACTGCCGATGTGTGACACGGCGCAGGGGCTGCTGTCAGCGCGCTTATCCACGCACCACCGGTGACGCTCATCGTCGGCCTACTCGGCGGAACAGCCAGTTTTTTTTCTCTCTCTCTCTCTCGCTCTCTCTCAATATTTCTGCAGCGATGTAACAAGAAGACAAGTGGTTGTATGAGAAAGTAACCCGTTACCTGTAGTGAAAGAAAAGGATGCACTCCGCCGGTTAGGTCATCTCCCGTAAGTCCAACTTGGAGAGGAAAAAAAAAAATATGAGAAATAACGCAATGTCCACACGATCAAGGGCTCAAATAAAACCCCCTCCTGGCAGCAGTGTTGTGCGGTGACATATCAGCTGGATTTGCGTCTCTTCCCATGTGGCAGGAAAACATTCTCCGAAATATGTCTAAACTCAAATCAACAGCGCCGCTGACCTAGCTGGAGCTGGCGAAATCCACCGTGTGCGCCGTTTCGCAGATCTGTCGATAACTTTTAATGCACGTCGCCGGCGAGAGAGAGGGGGAGAAAAAAAAAAAAAGTGATCGATCGGTCGCTCGTTCGCGATCTCAGGATAAATCCGCAGAGAATCGACAGATCTGCGGCGCAATGTTCTGCTCTTGCGCCATTAAACCCGTGAGTACATTAAAGTTATATAATACAGCCGTGCTGCCCTGGCGCACTCAACTGCAAACTCAGGCAGGGCAGGGCGATCAGTTAGGGAAGCGCTGTCAAGTCAAACAGAGCGAGAGCCCCGCTTCCTGTTGGACTTTTCAAAATTAAAGCAGTTTTTGTTGTGTTTTTCGCCTAAACATGCGTAAAAATTCACGTTGCTATCTATTTTTTTTTACTGATGAAAATGTATTAACATTTCTTTAATTTGTACTAATCAGGTGTGCTTTTCAGTGCGACTTATTTTGCTTATATTTTCAGGCACACGCTTCTTCTTCCACCTCCTTCCGTGCAGCTGTGGCAACTTGACGCAGCTGTTAGTTTGACACTTGGCGGTGAACGCCCCTTTACCCACTGGAACTCTCTCTGCTGGGGAATCTGTCAAAACGTGTCCTAAGTGGCCACCTATAACCTCCAAACATAGGATTGAGGAAACAGCTACAGGTCGTAACCTCTGTGCTTCTGCAGCAGCTCTTTAACCACCAAACCAAGCGTGGTTAATTCAAATTCTTTAATAGCTTAGACTTTCCAAAGTCGCATTAGGGGGTCTTTTTAGGTCACATTGGAAACAAAGGGGAGGAAATCCGTTTTTTTTTTTTCTTGTCCCCTCAGATGACAGCATGTTGTGTGATTGTGGGAAGAATCCATGTTTAACAACTGAGTGTAAATAAAAAAAAACTCTCAAAATCCCTGAAGGAAAATCATGTTATTGTTTGTGGTGATCTGAGGACTCCATCTGCACCAAACTAGATGTCTGGCAATGCTTAGTCACAGGATGCATGCAATGTAAGTGAGAAATATAAAACCTGCTTGTTGTTACACCTTATATTATTTCGATGCCGTTCTCGCCAGACAGGAAGACATGCCTGCAGCCGTCGAGAATCACGCTAAGATTCGGAGCCAAGTAGCATAGGGGAGGTGTTTAAGAAAAGGGGAAGCCAGACTTGAAAGGCTGCCAGTGCAGAGTTAAACCACAGCCCTTTATGCAAACCTTAGAGACAATCTCAATCTCTAAACTAAACTGACTTCAGCACTTTCAGATGTAGCGGCATTAATCATTTCTCAGGCCAGTGGTTTCTCCATACTCCCAACAAAGTGGAGAGGGATTTGGGAGGCTCACAGCATTTTTGTTTCGAGAGCAGAGAGTGAGGTGTCAAAGGGCAGGTTGACAGCCAGGAGCTCTCTAGAACCTTGAAGCCTAAACTGCTAATCTTTTATTTTACATGGTAGCGCTCTACTTAAGCACTAGATAGATATGACTTCTGACTGATTGCCTATTCTCTGAAAATATTTTTCCTACTGAGTAAGTTACAGTGCAGCACACAAGCATTTCAGACGCTAAAACGGAGACGTGCTCTGACAGTAAGCACAGCACTTAACATTGAGCTACTTGATAAAGAATGAGGAGGAAACTGAGACTGTCTTAACTCTACAAATCTGTTAAACAGCAGAACTCAAAAATCTTCCAGATAAGCTTTCGAAGAAGGATAAATTGCAGCCTTCAAACAGGAGGGCATGAGAGCCAAAACACTGAACTCTGATGAAGACATACTAGTGTTGAAACCGGAGTCTGTTTGCACAATAAAAGGCTGTGAATTAAGCAGTGTGCCCCGGCTCGTCCTTCTATACTCTGAGAAATCGTCTGTTCCAGGGTTGAGAAGCATCTGTTTAGCTCACGAACATATGAGGATTGTTTAAAAAGTCCCATTTCTTTAATGCATTTAAAGGGCCTGTACTTGGGCACGACGCAAACTGACGAGTGATCCTTCAGAGGCTGTAACACTACGATATAATTCTGTCTTCAGTTAGAAATTAATTTTCCTGAAGTCCCTTTGGTGGACAAGATGAACGACTAATTTATGAAATGCGCGTAGCAGAGTAAACCAAGCGTAAAGAAGAAAGGAGAGGAAAGTAAGGTGGGTGTAAAGTCCACTCTGTGCAGACAGGTGCAGACACCCAAAAGAAGCTGAGATGGGTTGACCCAAACCCAACAGCCAGAAGAAGAAAGACGGAAAAGGTAAAGAGGCGGGGGGAAGACGGGAAGGGGTGGCAGGTGTGGCCCTCCATGCAAGTCATCCGATTAGACGGAGCAGAGTGTGTCCTGTGCATGTGGATGTCTCATTAACAGCCAGTGTGGCTGGAGAGGGGCAGGAGCTCCCCAGGGCCTGAGAAAACCACACTGTTCTCAAAACATCACAGGGAACACAGTGAGTTTTTTAATGCTGGGTAACAACGGGTGATCCTATTTACCAATAAATAATAATAACATTGGACGTGTCGTGCTCCATGTGCAATGTATGTGCAACTGGGAATTTGTGGAGAAGTATGTTACCGTGGTTGTGTTATACAGCTCGATCTGTATGCCGAGAAGATGTCACCAGTTTCAGCGAATGTGCAGCTGTAGAGACAAATACTTGTGAATATTCATTGAGTACACTTGCATGTGTTGGTACCTAATGGAGGCTGAAGTTTGGGTTTCAAATGTTCTTCACCTTTGAGGAAAGAAAAAACACAATGCTGGATGCAGTTTTGCCTCAAGAATCATTGGACCCAAAGCAGAAAGAGGTACACGTTGTACATAAAACACATTCATACAAGGATACATCCTGTTGGCAGTCTGTTTGCTTTCATAAATATCTGACAAAATTACAGGTAAGGGGCACTGTTAAAAGGTCAGTTCATTCAACTCGCAAACACGGTTCCTCATTTCACCCACGGCTATTTGGTCATGTTGCAACCCCTTTGGTTTCATCTGCCGCGGTTTTGAAATATCGGTCACAATGAGGTGAAAAGAATTTTTGTTTGTGGTGCTCAGAGTGAAAAAAATGTGCTTTGACAAACTAAACTGCAACGTGTTCCAGGTATGCTGTCCCATTCACTCGCTGTTTATTGCTGAAGAGCGAAAAATGTATCATGTGTGACATTATCTTTTGTGAGCAACAATATTGTTATTGTTTTGAGACAAACAGACTTTCGATTACCTCCTTTGGCAACAGCAGAATCATCAGCTGATATCTCAAAATGTATGCAAATAAAATAAACATATGCGCCCCAGAGATGCCTTCTGGTATGTGAAATAAATAATAGTATTGGGTGACAAATTAAAGGAAAAAAAACTAACATAAAGTGATCTGGGCCACCACATGCCACCAGAACAGCTTCAGTTCATCTTGGTATTGGTTCCACAAGTCCCTAGAACTCTACTGGAGGGATGGAACACCATTCTTTGATGATGCAAGTGGAGAGAGCTGTCTAATATGTTGGTTCAGAATCTGGTGAGATCTGGTGACTGCGAGTAACATATATCATGAGACACATCATTTTCATATTCCTCAAACCATCAGTGACCCCTCATGCTCGATGGAGGAGATCACTGTCATGTTTGAAGAGACCGATTGGGATAGACATGTTTCCTCATAGGATAAAGGTAATCAGTCACAACAACTTCTGCAGTGACCCTTCCTCCAATAGGACAAGTGGATCCAAACCATGCCAGTGAAATGGCCCCCACAGAATAACAGAGCCACTCACTGCAGGTGAGGTTGTTCTAGTAACTTGTCCTCCGCCTGCAGTTTCTGGACTGTGTGCAAATTGGAGCATATTAAGGGCTCTCAACGTCGAATCCATGTGTATTTTGGACATGACAGTTAACATGAAATTACATGGTTTTTAATACAATTTGTCGATAGTGATATTGATTTATATGAATAAAATTATTCCGAACCACACGAAACAATGATTTTTGGCAGGACTTGAACTGGGGATGCTGCAGGCCACGAGGGCACCCTGTCTTCATATAATACAAAGGGGCATGTTTCCAAACTCTTTGATTTGCTGGCACTTATGCCAATGAAGGTAAATTGAGTAAGAGAGTGCAGACAAGTCCCTTGTGTTAGAGACTGGACTCAGATTTGTTTTTACGCCTCCCTTTGCCAAACTCTCTAACCTCACACATTGACCGTCTGCCAGACTCTGTCCAGAGAACAAGCTTCTCATGAGTCTGCAGTCATTTTGTTCAAAGCCCTGATTTGTAGTTGGGCACCAGGGAAATGTGGTGCAGCTGTTGCACTCTTTTCTTACATAAATTCACTCTAGAATAAACTAAATATTGTGGTATAACTGTAAACTAGTATTGCTGTTTGTTTTTTTAGTTTGTTTGTTTGTTTGGTTGGTTTTTTTACTATATAATTCTGTGATTACAGCCTGCTGGGCTACTGTTTAATGAGGGAAAATGTAATTGCCATTGTCTTCATTCATTTCATTCTGTGACTAAGTTAGGTTTTGTCCCTCTTCTCCTGTCTTTTTGTCCTGTTCTTTGCGTACAAATAAATGATTGGTTAATTATTTACGAGTAAATGTCCTGCAACATTTTGTACACTAGTTTCTTTTTTTTTTTTTAAGCAGCTGCGATTGATTTGGAAGTAGCTTTATAAATGTGCGGATAAGGAAAAATCAAAAAGGAACTAGATCAAACCAAAATCAGAAGGCTGACTTGACAAGTAAACCTATGAAGTTTGTTGATTTTGGAGGTGAAAAGAAGCATATACAGTTGAAACCAGAAGTGTACACACACTGTATAAAAAGATGTATAACCTTTTTTTTCCCCCTCCTGTGTGACATTAAATCAGATTAAATGTTTCTTGTTGTAGGTCAGTTAGGATTATCAAAATTATTTCTATTTGCTCAATGCCAGAATAATGAGAGAGAGGATATTTTAGAGAATTTTTGTAGTACTTTCTTCAAAGTCAGAAGTTTAGATATACTGCGATTACTATGTCTTCAAGCTATTTGGGAAAGCCCAGAGAGGAAGAAGACACTACTCCAAAAGCTAAAACTGAACTGTTTGGCCACAATGACCATCGTTACATTTGGAGGAAAAAGGGGGGCGCTTGCAAGCCTGAGAACACCAACCCAACTGTGAAGTACGGGGGTGGCAGCATCATGTTGTGGGGGTGTTTTGCTGCAGGAGGGACTGATGCAATTCACAAAATTGATGGTATCATGAGGAAAGAACAT